GACTTCATTGCCGGAGCCATGTCTTTCAAGTGGGTTGGACGAACGTCAAAGGCCTTGTGAAAGCTTGAGCAGCGAGGGCTCAGCGCGAGTCACAGGTGGAGAATCAACATTCCTAAGCCTCACATCTGCAGATTGCAGTCTGGGCTTCTTAAGCTCTTCCTGCTGCTACATTTCTCGGCTCTCTTGCCGAACGAGTCCTGGAGCGCCAGTGGATGAGGGAAGAACCGGTACAAACGAACCCATCTGGATCCATGTTGCCGCATCGCTTCCCAACTCTTGACTGCCTGTCCCCCAACCTCAGTTGTACCTGCGCACCGTACTGAGCAGGTTACTCTCAACTCCCGGCTCAGCAGATCCAGCAGATGCTGCGAAATTCCGAATCTCCCCAGATGCCTGAGCATGACCTCGATCCTTCTCTAAGGCATTGCCACGGCCCGCACCCGCGGCCTCAAGGCTTCGCCTCATCGCCGGCGATGCGTCCTCGCTGGCTGCACCGGCCTCGAGAAGCCACCGAGGCTCGGGTCTTCGGCTTTCAGGTCGGGGAGTGGTTTTGACTTCGGGCTGATGCAGGGGTTTCAGGGTGACGCAAAGGGGGCCAAGAGTGGTTCTTGCCGATCCAATATGATCAAGAGCACCTGAATCCTAAACCAACCTGCGACAAGACCTGACCTGGACCTGGAAGGCTCGCTCTGCCTGCGTCTGTTGCGCAAAGAGGGTCTCGATGCCGCGTAGCTGCAATGCCTCGTCCTGCTGTTTTCAACCTTATGACTTATGACGTATTCTTACATGGTTCCAGCGGGCACGAAGCTCCGATTTCCATAATCACTTTCCAAAGGCATCTTGGGATCACAGCTCTCGAAGTCGACCTTCCTTGGCCGTCGACGTAACCTCCAACGACTCCAACCGAAAACCGCCAAAAACCGCCGTCCTGCGGAGATCGAAGCATCTCATCCACGATGTCCCCGGACCCCTCTCGGGCAAGTTTCGAAAGCTGCGCTTGCCACAGAATAAGCACGGGAGAGCACCGGTGCATCACCTTGTTCTCTTGCAAGCACCCTCCTCGAGATGACTGGCAGCTGTTGCTGTTCTTGCCGCTACCGCTGCTGCTGCTGCTGTTGTTGCTGTCGTTGTCTCTGATGAGGGATTATTCAGGCTGAACCTTATTTGCCATCACGGACAAAGTCACGAGTTATGCTGCCGTAAACAATGCGGAGCAAACTCGGACTTTCACGTACGACACGAGGCTCCAGGGATAGAAGACAAGCGGCACACATACACCAGACAGAGAGACATACAGAGAGAAAAAAAAAAAACTACACTCGAACAGACCGAGAAAAACAGACAAACACACACACACACACAGACAGAGTGACACAAACGGAGACCAAAAACATAGACACACGCACACAGGGACACACCCACACAAAGAGGCAGAGAGAGACACAGATACACACCGAGAAGTGCACAGACACAGACACACAAAGAGAGACACGGAAAGAGAGAGAGAGAGAGAGTCTGTCCGCACACAGACACACAGAGACATGCAGAACAGCACACAGACACACGCAGAGATATGCAGACAAAAACAAGCACACACACACACACATGTATGCATGTGTGCATATAAGTAAGTAAGTCAGTCAGTCAGTAAGTAAGTATGCATGTACGTACGTACGTATGTATGTATGTATGTATGTGTGCATGCATACATGTTTATACATACATGCATATATATATATGTATTGACATATGTCAGTATCTATGTATTGATTTTCTTAGTTATGTGTAGTTGCTTGCTTATTCGTGTGTCTATCCCTTTGTCTTTTTTAATTCTGTACTTACTTATGTACCTGCTTATTTATGTATTTATCTATCTATCCCTATGCATACGCAAATACATCTTCATCTACACTTACATGTCCATATACGAATCAGGGTATCCGATGTAATTCTGTTAATGCTCACAACATGACAGATACTACTGCAGGTGACGTCAGTATTAGAACGCACTAGTAGTATTAACATACATACTTTCACTAACTTGTATATGCATACTGATTTTCATGTCTTACATCTATGTTTACACTACACGTGAGTAAAACATGGAGCCCTGAAACGCTAAGCCGCTAGGCAGAAGCTGAGAAACAATCCAAATCCTGACCGTCTGAGGTTGACCCGCTACAAGCAAGCAATCCTTGCAACAGCTACCCAATGGCGAACTGACATCCAACCCCTTCCTGGGTGGGGGCTCCAAATTTTCAGAATACAGTTTCGACTGCTGTGTACCCATCGACCCCGCGTGCCAGTCTCATATGTCCGTCCCTGCATGTCAACCCTTTTGTTCCACACAAAGCCCATGTTCTGCCTCCGCAGGTGCAGCAGCTTCCGCAGCCACCTGCATCGCAGCACATTGGCAAGTTGGGCCGAGCTTCCAGGCTCCCGTGAAGCTTGTGGTTCTTCATAGTAAAGTAGTGCGGTAACATGAGAAGACTTGGACGCGTGACTTTCCTGAGTGGCGTCGGATTGGGTCTCGGGTGGTGTCATTGTGGCTGAGGCTCCGACTGCAGAGGCTACAAGACACGTGCCTTGCTGGCCTTGCTTCTCATGATGCTGATGTCGCATGGGTAGGGACCGTGGCCAGAGGGCTTCAAGGCTGGAAGCCGCACTGAAGCATAGTTTACGAGTTTCGCCCCTTCAAGCCGAAGGAACCTCAGCTTCGAATGCTCAAGGCCAAGGCCAAGGAGCCCAAGATCGATCATCCTAGGCATGCTGAACTAGGATGACCCGAAGTTACAACAAGCCAAGGCCGCCGTGCCTCCGGAGGAGCTTGTGCCAACTTCTGAAGCCGACTCTGTAGCACCTCAATCTCCTCGCCTGAGCGCGTGAAGCTCTGAATTCTGAGTAGGCTCGGCGCACAGGAGGTGCGGCGCAAGAATTGCCAGAGTGGCTTAACTGAACCATCAAAAGACTCTTATGAAGCTGAGGTTTGTTGGAGTCCGAGATTGTGGCTGCAAGCACAAGGTTTGCAGAAGCTCTGCAGCACAAGGGGCCTTAAGATGGGAACCTCGTGACCACGCTGGGCTCCGAGCGCATGCGCTCGCGCTCTGCCAGCCATTGCGTGCGCTCCTCGAGACTGGGCTTTCCAGCAGGTGCGAGTGTCTGTCTTCGGTTACTCTGAATAAAGATTGTAGGACCCGAGTTGGGTTTGAAGTCCGACTCCCGGTGTTGCAGGGTCACGGGCGAGAATTTCGCTCACGGACTGCTATTAGTCCGGCGCAATCTTTGCGACCACGGCTGTGTACACAAATGCCTCAATGCGACCCTGCCCCGACCTTGAGCAAGGATTCCACCTGCTCACGGAGGGCTGCCACCTCCCGCACAGCCACACGGCCCGGAATCAAAAGGCACCCCAGAGTCCCCAAGCCAAGGAGTCGACCTCATCCTCAGCCATGGCTCTTCGGGGCCTGTCACCAGGAAGTGATGGGTTCTCGCATTCCTGCTGCGCCTTGTTCGTCCTCCCCGGCTTGTTCGCCTTGCATACCTCAAGCCTCGGCTTCCAATAAAGCAGCCTGACGGCATGTAGCAAGGCCGTGCAACACTGCAGCCTCCAAAAGCATATAGGCAAATTCGCCTTCTCATGAACGTGAACGAAACGAATTGGCCTTGAACCACTTTCATGCTAGGCTGTAGTGAGCATTGCACACGCTCGCCTTGAACTCTGACCGCCCCTGCTTCAACGGGAAAAATGGGAAGCCTCTCCTCAAGCTAGATCCTGCAAAGCTCGACTCAAACTATTAACGAATAGCTATCTACATGCGTGCGCCGCATCTTGTGAATCTTGTGTCCATAGGATCAAGATGAGGACTGTCAGGATTTCCCGTTGACCTGGATCAGGCCGGCTCAACCGCTGCCATCAACCCTTGCTCTCGTGGCGCAGAGAAGTCGAGCCAGTTTTTGAGATTGAACATCTGGTTTGACTTGGATGTGCCAAGACGGCGGCAAACGGTGCGAGCCTTCAGTCTGAGGAAACGCTAGCTGCTAGCTGCTATAGAGAGGTGTGGATCAAAACATCACGATACGCTCCTTACCGCATCGAGGAGACGACTGCCGAGGGGTTTAGGGGCTTCTACGCGTGAATGCTCAAGAACTGTCAGCCCGGTGCTGATCAGCGTCGTACAGATTTTTTCAATTCGGCTTCCATGAGGCTATCATCCGTGTTTCCTGGGAAGCTTGAGAGAAAGCTGGCATGCAGCGGTCATGGCACCTGCACTGAGTCGAACAGGAAGGGATTGAAGCCGCCAGGCAGATCACTGAAAGGTACACTCAAACATGGCACAGACATAAGTCTGAACCATCCTCAGCCCAAACATGCAAAACCTGAAACCCTACTTGCAGAATCAGAAACTCTCCCTTACAAGCCTCAGAGACTCTACATTTCTCCCCTTTCTGCGCGACATCCCTAAACCGGCCCGGGTTGGGCCGGAAGTCCGCCGGCTCGAGGCCTTGCGGAATACAAGTGTCCAGTTTTCAGGGAGATGAGCGGGAACAAACGTAGCAGCAAGCGTAAACCAATGAGTCACACTTACAGCAGCACTGCATTGAAACTTCCTGCACGCAGAGTGTTTGCATTAGCGGACAACAGCTTGGCCATGTTATTGCCTGTTGCATCCTTTTGCCATAAGCGGTGCTCGCCCATGAGCGACGCTGCAACGTTCTTCGTGGAACTGCTTTGCAGCTAGTGGGCATCATCCTTTTGAATTTCAAGCACAAACAATATCAGACCTGCTATGGGCCGGTACAAATATCCTCGGGGCCGACAAAATGTCCCCTGTCAGGAATATTTCGCATGAAGGGCCGATGGCAATGGTAGCCGCTTGGGAATTCATAAACCTGCAGCTCCATGAGGAAGTGTGCCATCACCGCCGTATTGCAAATCAATTTTCGCTCGCTAGCCGAAGGAGCTGGAAGTATGTACAAAGCTCAAGGCTCGCTGGGCGCGTGCATGCATCAGGAGGGCCTGTCATGGAGCATGTTCATTTTAGAGTGCCACGATGACAGGCTAACCAGGCCAAGTGCCGTCATGAACCCCAAAAAGCTTATTAGACGTGTTAGTCCATGATCCTGGCCTTCTCATGACTTCTGGAATACTACAGTCCGTATGTCAAGATGCCTTCCTTGTTGCCCGTTCCCGCCTGTGAATGCCAACGGTGCAACCCTCGGCAAACAGGCCAAGCCGTGAGCAACACGACCTCGGCCAAATTCAATCCAAGTAAGTGCGTAAACCATACGATGCAACTTCCAACTTGGCAAGTTTAGACTTTTGGTATACCCGGAAAATAAACACTCAGCTGGCGCATAGGCATGCATACTTCATCACGCTGCTACTGATGCTACTGCAACACTATGCATGAGGTAGCCAAGGCCAGGGCTGGGGCCAGGGAAGCAACATGAAGCAAACAGCCACGGGCCAACGAAGAGAAGTGACTGAGTTGCGGGCCAAGCACACAGAACTTCACCAGGACCAACGCAAACATCCTCCCACACCATCACCTTACCTGCGACGACTGCTGGGAGACCCAAGCCTTTCGTCCAGTGGCCTCGGCCCCCTTGCCGAGACTTACGGCCTGCAACTCCGCCACACTTGCGAAGCGCGAACTTGCCACACTTTGCGATCTGCTGTCGCTCGCTCCGGGTCAATGCACTCGCCTCCGGCCCGAAAGGAACAAGCGTCCCTTCGTGGTAATGACAGCTCATACTAGTTCGATTCGCCGATGCTGTGTATTTCTCCCCACAACGGCCGCAAACCTTTAGTCCAAGCGTGCTGTCGGCCAAATGTCCCTGGCGGTTGTCCGCAAATAAGAGCTTGTTGTGCGGCTTCTGCTTGGTGGGCGTAGGAGCAGGAGTTAGCTTGACCTGCGGCACAACTTCGGCCAATGCACGTCTCCCGGAGTAGCCCGAACTTTTCTTCTAGTTCAGCCCTTTTTTGGGCTCAAGATTCACTCCAGTGAGTGGTTCAGCCGGCTAGAGGCAGAGTCCCAACGAACCACTAATTAGGTACCAGGCAGGCCATGAAGCGGCCTCCTCGAAGCTGTCGGAGCGCGGCTTCTGCTTCCGGCGCCGCCATTCCTCGGCTCTCCGCGCGCGGCGGGTGAAGACCTGTTTGTAGCTTCCGGCGAAGTCCTCTGCCTGAGAGGGAAATGGTCCGAGACGGCTCTAGACGAATGCCCATTCTTGGTTTGAAATTTCGCGCTCGGAACAAGAAGCAAAACGTACTTTGAAGCAACCTGGCTGCGCAAAGCCTGAGGAACAAGGAAGGGAAGAAGGCTTCCAATACCCCTCCCCAGGCGGCTTCGGTCGTTCTCGTCGCGGAGCATGCCAGAGCCTTGCAGCAATTGGGTCATAGCACCGACGCTGGCACGACAAACATTGCGGCTTGGGTAAATTTTCAGCCACTTACAGTCATTTCACCAGATATCCTGAACCCCAAACTGCCGAATTTTGGCACACAGCCTCCCGCGCACAAACACACACACACAAACACACACTGACTGACAGAGACCCCCGCGCGCGCGCGCGCGTGCGTGCGCGCACAGCACTTCGGAGCCTCGACACCGTACACAGCAGAAGGGTCGCCTGCAGCAACCTGAATTTTCAGAATGACATTCTCTGGGAGGTCCACAAAAGAAATCCTTCGAACGGCGTTCCTCGCCATTGCTGATCGTCGAAGGCGAGGCTGGATCCCGCTGGCGTCAGCTGAGCTCGATTTGCTTCAAGCTGAATGTCCGGTTTGAGCCTAGATGCAGCTGCATGGCCCTGCGCAAAACGAAGCCCTTGCTATGACCGACTGCTGAGTGAGTCTGTATCTCATGCAGCCCAACCCGCCCTTCCCTGTGAAAAGACATAGGCAGCTGTTGTCAAAGTTGCTAGCTTAAGCTGAAGGCCAAGCGCTACTGCACGCCAACACACTTATCATCAAGTAGACGTTGGTAGCTGTACTATCGGGTGAAATTTCTCAATGCACCTGGCAGTATGGAATAGACCCAATGGTTCAATACAACATAATACGGCTGAATCCTGTCCGAAACAAAATTTCCGTGAAGGTACCTTGAGAAGACAGCCGCTCACACTTCGGCTGAATCTTGTTCAGAAGGCAAGTAAACCGACACCGAGTTCTCAGGGACCCTTAGGGCGTGGCAGCTTCAGGTGTTTCCATTGTGAGAGTCTTACAAAACCCTAAACCCTCTTCGATTTTCGGGGTCTTATCTAAAGAGTAGCTACCCACCTGAATTAAGAATTGTCATGTCCTTGAGATCCGAAAAAAGGTTTAGGGCTTAGGGTTTAGCTTTGGGGTTCGAGACGGCGCCTCGTGGCCCTGGAAAGATTCGAACAGGCGGAAGCGGTAAATCCTAAACTAAATGTTAAACCCTAAACCGCCCCTGAACCCTTTCACCCGAGAACCATCTCTGAAATTGCCCGATTGCACACTAAACCGTAAACCAGAAATAAACCCAGACCCTAAGCCCCGCAGAAAGCAAAGGCTAAGATCAGGAGCGCCTGGGATGATGGAGCCCCACCTCATTGAGCGGCTGTCGTTGTTGAGGGGTTGAGGGTTTGAGGGTTTAGTGTTGTTTTCGAGTTTAAGGGTTTAGGGCTTGAGGGCTTGAAGGTCTGAGTGTTTGGGGGCTTTGGGTTTGACTCTTCGGGATGTAGGGTTGAGGGTTTCGGAGTTTGATGGTAGTCTTTGCCGCCGTTCAAAAAACCCGTTTATTATTGTGATCGCAGTGTGTTTATAGCCTGTCCTCAGCGGTTTCTTTTTGGGGGGAGGGGTGGGGGGGCTGATTGAAAGTCGTCTTTGGCCGGAAATCTCCCGGCGACGGAATCTTAAAATTGCAACACCATTTTTTTTACATGTGATTACTTTTCCACCATCGTGCTGTTGGAGGTGGCCGTTCACCCCTCAATCGTAACAATGAAAACCTACGCCAAGGCTCTGCATGAAGTGATCTTGCCTTGGCAGACTGTTGGCCTGACTTGCTTGATGCCCCAACACCCCAAACCCCAAACTCAGCTGCCTATGCTGGGCCTTGGGATGCAGAATTCCCCTACCTAGGGTCTTAGAACGCCTCCGAGGATCCGGGCTTAGTGGGGGGTTTAGGACATAGCCCAGACCCTGAATCCCAAACTCAGAGTGACTCCAAAGGCTAAAGCCTAAACCATAAACCCAAGTCTAGGAGTGCACCTGCCCTTGCATTGTGCCGGTTGAGTGGCCAACGCCCGACGTTGGGGGGCGCCCGCCTTCCGCGACAACGCTAGCCCTGGGATCCGCGACCTTAGGAGAATCTTCACCAACAACTTATCGGTTTAGGGCTTAGGCGGTTAGGGAGCTGAAGAAGTTGATTGTATTGTATGCCATTGAAAAGTGTAAGACCCACTCAGAAAGCTTGTATATTG